TCGACGGTGATTGACGATCAAAAAAAAAAAAAAAAAAAAAAAAAAAGGGGGAAGGGGTGTTTATTATTCATCATACCCGAGGACCATTTGGACGTAATTTCTGATACGTGCAATGTACGTGTTTGTGTGTCCGAATGACGAGCAACGTTCATCATCGTCCACAAGTACTTATAGGTCCTGCGTGCGGAATGTCTCCTCAGTTCGCTTCGCGGAGCTGCGGCAGGTGACAAATTTTTCGTATAGATTCACCGCCACACCCCACAATCCTAGGCTCCGAAAGAGCTTTTTTTTTATTCTTGTTTCCAGGCATTCCACGACTCGGATGACGAATTTTTCGTCAACCGAGACGCCAAAAGCTTGCCAGATGAAAATCGTACACCGACTACTACTCTTTCAATCTCATGAAAGTCACGTCCAGAGTATTGGTGGACAGATGGTTATCCACCACCTCGCAGGGTAAAATCCATGCATCGACTATACTTAAGAGGGGGTCAGGGAGAAAGGGGCTAAAAAAGAGGGAGAAGTAAAAATAGACCGACCTTTGATAATTTCTCGCCCTCGTTGAGCGGTAGCAGGTGCCTGAGAGACTGGAAGCCGGCGTTGATGCTCTGCATGCGCCTGCGCTCGTTGCTGTTGGCTATCTCCCGCCGCATCCGTTTCTCCTGTTCTATGTGATTTGGTGCCGTAGGTCCCGTAGACGAGGACGAGGTCGTACCAGCCTCGGCAGAACTGGCAGCCGCGGCGGTGCCGCCAATCGGGTCCGACGTGTTACCGTTCCCATTGTTGCTGTGGTGATTGTGATGGTTACTGTTGTTGCTGGACGATCGGCTGCTCTTGTGCTGTTTACCGGTGGTCGTCGTCATCGCGCTTGCCGATGAGCCCAAAGACGCGCCGTTGCTGGCCGCTGGTTCCGCTGTTACTTGAAAGTTGTTGACCACGAGGCCGATTATCGACGGCTTCTGCTCGATCTCCTCGGCAAACTCCCCGATCGGCAGACCGCTGCACTCCTCGACTGTCTCGCCGCTGCTGAAACAAACGACGAATCGAGCGCTGTAATACATATCTCCAAAAGTTGTTTCACGGGTTGACAATCAATGGGATTGCCCTAGAAAATACCGTACCACCATGATGGGCAGGGTGTTTTGGTGAATTTCCCATCACCTCAAAACAAAAAAATCTCCTGCTGAAAGGGGAAACAAAAAATTCATACGATGCTCTTTGCTTCGTCACTTCAGCTGTGTTGTTATTAAACGCTGTACGAGTAGCAAGGAGGAGGGGATAAAAGTACACCTGTGCCGGGGTTGGAAAGGCTCTCGATTAAATGCAATGACGAGCAGGAGGCGAAAAGAGTGGTACACTTCAAAGCAATTTCCCGGTGTCCAATAAAAGCCAATTTTTGCGGTACAGGAACGAACGAGTGGTGTGGCCGCCGCGTCGTAGCAGCTCGGTGTGCCGAAAATTAATCGCGCTTCGGGGCGCCCCACGCTATTTCCCGTCCTCTTCCCACGCCTTTTTCGTCGCAGATCAAAGTTCGGCGCGAGAGAGAGTGCAATCAGAGCCGCGACAAAGCCACTGCGGCATTTCCTCCCAACCCTCCCATATTTGTCCATAATACTTGCCGACATCTTTCAATTTTTTCGTATACGTATACATACGTACAGGGAGAACCACCCTATTTTTCTTCAGTACCTTCCTCTCACTCACTCTCTCTCTCTTTCAATTTTTTTCTTTTTCGTCTCTGTTTCGTCGATGTTTCGTATTACACTTCCGTGTTTATTTGATTTATGGACTGGTACACGGCTGCCTTTCCCGAGCTGAGCTGCTTTTAAGGAAATTGAAAAAGTCGACGAAGGAAAAGGACGAAAGGGGTTTTCTTCCCTCCCTCCGAGGATTCTCGAGGAGGGTATAGGTATTATTATACGTGTACACAAGTCAGATGTGTAAGGTATATATATATTATATGCAGCAGAGAGGAAATTTATAATAGCGGGTGAGTCATTTTTTATATACGACCAAGTTGCAGTTACGAGACTCATGTAAATGTATCTTGCTTCTCATGAAAAAAAATTTGCGTGAAAAAAAGGCAGTAATTTTCACCCATAGAACGGTAAAAGTGATTTTTATAAGAGTAACTTTGGTGTTTTTCTCATAATATATTCGGATACATCGGCTTCACCGATACATTTTTCAAAAATTACTCTGCATCCAATCTCCAATCATCCGATCTCGCACGACATAATCTTGCAAACGATGAAGGCTCTGACTTGTAAGTAAGTCAACTTAATTAGGGTGATGTCCAACCCGAGCCGTAATTGTATATTTATTTTTTTGCGCGTATCTCAACAAGTTATATAACTGACCATGTGTTAAAAAAACCCCAAAATGAATAAAAAAGAAAGAAAGAGAGAAACAAACAGTGAGCCAAGAAAAAAGTACTGTATGTACTGCGGAGAGCAGGGATCAAAGAAAACAAAGAAAATAGTGGTAAGGGGGTGGAAGGAAGAGAGGAAATGAAGGCGTGGTAAAGAAAAAAAAAAAAAAAAAGCAGCCCGGATGAAGTAGCTTAGTGTAGTTGTGTACGGTCGACTAACTTGTTTTTGTGGTGAAATCGATTATTCAGAGCTTGCGAGAGCCAGCCCGTTTCGGACTATAAAAGTTTTTCTACAATCCTTTTTTAGGAGGTCATGGGAGGTGAATACGTGCGTACGAGAGTGGCGGAAGGAAAATTATGCTTCGGGAACGATTACAATACATCCTAATGGCGAGAGTGCAAATATTGAATCTACGAATGATTTTTCAATTGATTTGTACAGGAGACATAGAGAAAGAACTGCTCTTCGCATCGGAAAAAAAAGTTATGCTACACGCGTATACGAATATAAATTACAAAAAAAAAAAAAGGAAAAAAAAAAGGAAAAAAAAAGGAAAAATCAACTTGTTAGTCGCGTGACGTTCACCCCAGCACTAGTTTCAAAACTAGCCCCCTCGCGCGGGCACGTCAACCACCACCAGCTGATTTATCGACGAAATGAGCACTTCCAATAGACACGCTCCCACGGGCAGCGGCAACCGCAGCATCACCACCTAAATACGGTCATCCTCCCGCGCATACATTAGCGCCTGTATAGCAACGTGACGCGCCGATGAAATTTACGATCTGCCAGCTGGATAATTTTCAACGCTTTGCACGGGAAATCGGATTAAGCGCCCCGCGAGCCCACAGTGGTTTTTTTTCCCCCTTCCTTTTCTTTTTCCGCGAGCTGCTGGTTTCCACATTTCGGGCAACGGGGACAAGAGTGTTCATGTCACACTCGAACAGACGATTTATTATGATTACTTTTTTGTTTTTTTGTCCATACCACCAGTAAAATAAACTCAGTTCGCCGGATGATCCGCTGATGCGAGCAAGGGGACAAGAGTCGCGCTCTAATACGACGGCTATTACGTTGAACACGCGGCTTTTCACACCGAGCTTACGTTTGTATACACTGAGCATTTTTCAGCAGGGGATCTTTTTTAAATCCCTGTACAAGATTTACCTTTCTTTTGTACGCATTTTTTTTTTTTTTTTTTTTTTTGTACACGTTCGTGTGAAATAATTTCGTGATTCTGCGTCACCGATAATTGAGCTCGTGACGCGATTAGTTGTCAGTTTCGGGAGGAAGGTACCCACTTTATGCCCGTTTATCTGTTACCAAAAAAAGAAGTTTCTTATCATTGCACCATAGGGTGGACTAGTATCAGTATTTCCAAAGAAACTACGACTTTGTTCTTCTTCGTTATCTGCCCGTTTACAGATTACCACTTAAGAGGATGCCACAATACTTGCCTAAATAAGCGTTGAATGCGATTTTCACCCTAACGATTATGTTGCACTTTTCCCCCTAGAAATTACGAGAGAAATTATGAACAATGTCATATTTCCACAGAAGGTATATAATTATATATAGAAGACATTATATTCGGCGGATGCTCTATTTACCCCCTTCATATAAAACAATTTACTGTTCGAGGACAACGGGAATACACTGAAAATTTGCCAATGTTTCGCGGCAGGTAATTTTTATCATGCACGTACTAAAAAAAATGTTTTATAAGTTCTAACTATAGTTTCTCGGTAAAGAAAATTTATAGTTTCTCCGTGAAGAAAACTGTCAAGAAACACCCCTTGGGTGGGTGTCCCTACTTATGGATTAATTACATCCCTACTACTGCCAGTCGCTACTTTATATACACAATAAATTCTCCACAGTTGCAGTCGTCACTTTGCCATTGTAACTTGGTACGGCTAACGTCAAAACCAAACATTTGTGCATCTTGGATCGATGTAAACATAAATACACGCTGGCCCCGAAGCAGTAGACCGCGTATTTGTCGCAACGCCGTTTTGGGCCCACCATCACCACGTACGTCAAGTTCGCACCATCGCGCCTCTTTTTCCCACACACGTGCAAGTTTAGCGCGGCTATCGAGCATTAATGCAACGTGTGGCAGAAGAAAGAACTTTGCGCGCGAGGGCCCTTCCGGGCTGTCAGTCGATCGAGCCCAAGGCGGGATGCCCGTACGCGAGAGAGAGAGATAGAGGAACGGCCCCCGAGCGCTTTTCCCACGCGAACCTGTGCCTAACAACATCATCCACACGTACGCGAGGATTTTTCTTTTTTTTTTTTAATTATACCAAGAGAAAAATTAAAAATAAACAAATAAACAGAAGTAGCTACGTGGCGGGTGGTTGAAAAGCCACGCTGACAAAAGAGATACACCGATACGTCCAACGAGGGATGGTGCTGACGTACGATTACTCGAGCGCCTGACAATTATTATGAAAAAGAGAACGCGGTGTATGATTGCAATCGTTTCGATGGTCAACGAGATGATTTTTTTTACTTCGAAACAAAAAAAAAAATTACGTTCACGAGAGGAAAAAATAGCTTTTGAAAAAAAAAAAAAAAAAAACGATGTTTTTTCGCGACAGGGTTAATCAAGCTCGATCGGCTCGACAATGAATGTTTTAACATAATAGAGATTTTTAACTAGTGACAGCGCTGAAGATATACCCCTTGGACATTATTTATTCATATTGAATATGAAATAATACTGCGACGGTGAACTTACGAAGGGAAAAAAAAAAAATCCGTATTATAAGCAGAGCGGTAAACTGCGTCGTGGCGAGTTTAATGCTAAAATCGATGCCACGTCGTCGTCGTAGGGTCAGTCAGCCGTGCGTCGTTTAGGAATCAGCTGTTGCAGCTATAGGTATCGCTGCCACCACCGCCATGAGTCGGTCGATTGCCAACGCCAACGACAGCAAACGTGTGGGGTAATATGTGGGGATGGAAAATAAGTATGTGTGTCGAAACAGTATGTTATTATTATTATTATTATTATTATTATTTACACATGACAATACTCCAAACGACGTAGTAGTACGACTGTATTATGCATAAGATAATGGAATAGCACGTGGTGGACTCATCGTGTTTTTCGATTAAAATTGATAAATTGTATTAAAAAGTACTTAATTGGTCGTAATGACAAGATCGTCGTTTCGAGAACAACGTCATTTTTGGGGTTATACTTTTGTAAATCGTTGTTAAAAAAAAACTTAGGTACATGGTTTTTTTTTCCATCACCGATATATTGTATTGAAGAGAAGATAAACGAGCAAAACAGTTCCGAGAATAGTATGGGCAGTATAACGGCGTGGGAACTAGTATTAATTTGTGCGGATCTTGAAAATGCGACAAGTGGAAAAAAAAAAGTTGATGTCGATGGAGAAAAATGCCCAAAGTTAAAAATAGTCACCGAAGGCGCTCGACGGACGATAAATAGGCTAATTGATTCGAGCTTTATGTTGCGTGCAGTGCAGTCGTCGGGCGCCGCCGCGTCGTGTCCGAGAGCTTGCAACAACGCCAGCTGCCCGGCTAAGTCCAATGCCAAGAATTTCACCGGCCAAAGACGCCGACGACACGACAACAACGAAACACCAGCTTGACCGCGCGCACACATCCATCCGTCTCTTTGGC